TGACACGCTCTCCAGTTTTCTATACCCTTAGAAGCTCACCTATTTGATGGTTCATATTATATTTAGGGTTAGGGTTCTCGAATTGGTATATTTATAACTTCTTTTTACGAAAATTTTTAATATAATTTACAAAGAGAACCCTGCTATCCTTTTTCTTGCTGTTATGAGTCTCACTTGGTGTTAAATAGCTTATATGATTAATCTACTAAAAATTATAGCGAGTTCCATCATTTTCTTCTACTTTCGGCAGATGCTGTTACTCAACTGTCGAGGCATGGCTGACCAATACAGAAATCGAATTTTTTAGTTATAAAATTAATAAAACGCAAGTTTCGACTAATAAATATAATTGCAGTTTGAAAAAGTGCGAACAAGAGATTTTTCTCGGCCTAAAAGTGTAAACTCTCCGTTTTAGCCCTTCTTCTCCATCGTGAAATTAACTTTACATGCATCTTTGGGGTAGCTAACTTGAAAATTTTAAACAGGTAAAATATGAAGGTTCCTCAGATAATTTTACCAGCAAATCAACAAAAGGTAATGTGCGTAGAACTCTTAAAGCTGATTCAACCATTATTAAGACATGAAGGTCATAGAAAGCTGCACGATTGTAAGTTACATGTTCATAATGGCTGTTGGTGAAGGAGTTATATGTTGGATTTACCCGGTAATTGTATCATCCAGCATTTAAAGAAAAACGTAGTTCCGTGGCCATTACATGCTCAAGTACGACCAAATGAATAGGCATATATTGGTCGGCTATTAAAATATTTGCTAATTTGGTTCTAGTTATACTTAGTACTACCGAAAAACCCAAAGAAATCCATCTCTTGCTCGTGGCTTTGTGTGAAATGTATAGCGGAGGTACAAAACTGTGAGGGGCTGCACAATTCTAATCAAAATTGATAATGACATAAAGGCTGAGCTGTGGCAATCTAGTTCAGAAGTTCTGATGGTATGGTTTCAGAAGGGCGACGTGGTTTTTTCGGGATAATAATAATTTCAAATACACGCCATAAACATCGTGAGACTAGCTAAAATCATTTGTTCTATATGTTTATATGTCCTCGATTAGCTCTAGAGTTTTCTTTTGGAACTCACTGTTTTTGTAGTTTGAAGAGAGGAAATAAAAAAATATTAAAAACTGTTATTATATATAGTAATCGTCTGTTAGATTACTGTACAAAACAAGGGGAAACTCTTTCAATTGATATCCACCAAGCTAAGCCTGCGAAATTTGCAAGGGGTGTTTTGAGCAAAAAGTAATTATATTCGCGCTCATGAATATAATAAAGTACAATAATTTTTCATATTATTCTTCCATCCGGTTAATAATTAGCGAACTTTTGATGAATTTGTCCCCTTAAAAAGGATAGCAAGAGATTCTTTTACTATTTTAAATGTAACAAAAAAGTAGTATTTGCGATCGAAATATATAATCTAATGGGAGGCAGCCTTCTTGCAATCACCACAGCATTTGGGCCTTTGTTGTATGCCCTTTGTAATTCTACCTACTCATTATGTCTAATCACCAAGTGGGATTGCTTTATTTTTTATAAGTTCTTCTTTTGGAAGCTAAAATTCTGTTTAAAACAACCAATTATAAGCCATTTCTTAGTTATGCAATAATAAGATACTTAAAATGGTTTACAAAAAGTGTAATAGAGTTTATAGTAATAATCGTAATGTGGTTAGCTAATTTGAAATTATAAAGTACTAAGCTTAAAGAGTGTCGATGATAATCTTAAAATGATAATGTCTATAAAGCATGTCATCATGCAATTTGTCTTACCAAGGAAAATATGCATGCCATGATGATATTGAAAATGAAAATTTTGTTGTTCTTGTCTCTGATGAAGAAATTGAGCAGTATACCGGTAAAAAGAAAAAATATAATATAGATCAATGCAAAGCTATTCGAACTAGTGGTGTTCCTTATAATATTAAAAGAAGAATAAAAAAAATAGCTAAACGGGTAAAAAAGTGGGTCAGCAGAATTCAGATGCTCTGGATGTTGTTAATAACTTTACTAATTGTATATTGGAAATATTTTATTGCAAATACCAGCCATATATATAATTCGAACGTTATAAAATTTAACGGAGGTATCGTATACAAAGGCTACACACACAATATAAGCTACAATTTCCCAAAACATTTCTGGAAAAGTAATGTAAAATTTTTATACTAATTTTCTTCCATCATACTTTTAGATTAAATTATTAAATTAATTAGGTGACTAGGCCAAAGATTTTTATTAATAACGATGAAAAAAATAAATATAATAGTCTCTACGTAAAGAGAAAAAGGGTAATATGCTAATTTTATTTTTATTACCTAACTTACATAAATTTCATTTTCCTGCAGCCTCCAAAATTTGTATTGTACAGAGCAATCGGCAACGATTTACCCCCACGACACGCATCAGGGCAGTCTTATAAAAATTTGCTTGTAATTTTTTTTTTCTTATTACAAAGTGATTTATGCTACTAATCAAGGACAGTTTAAAATTAGCACTTAACTTTTTTTTAAAACTACCTTCTCTTAAAAAATAAAAAGTCTGAGAACTAGAATTATATTGTGTAGACGTTAATTTTAGTATGAAGCTTATTTAACTTTATCTTAGTTAGAGGCAAGAACTACTGTTAAATATTTGAAATTTGTAGAAAAACAAAAAACCAGCGTGCTTTTTAAAGGGTTATTGCAACGCGCATAACGCGTTATTATATATTACTCTTTTTAGGATGTATTATAAGCAATGCTTTACTAATAAAATGGCTACGAAATTTAGTTATCCCTTCTAGAGACTTTTAAATTAATGGTGTTAAACTTGTTTGTTACTCTTCATCACATTCAATGACCCTCTATCTTAATTAACTTATCAAATTTTTTTATTAAATTTCCTTGACTCTCTTACGAGTGTAAGAATATAATTACAAAATTAATTTCTTATAGCTTTTAACTTAACTTACAATATTGGTTTTATTTTATAAATAATTTTTTGAAAAAAAAAAATAAACTTAAAGTTTCTGTTGAGCTTGAAATTATATGTGAATGTATAACTTATTTCCTCTACAAATATAACAACAATTAACGCTTTTTAGTTTATACTTAAAAATGAAAGAAGATTAGAGGAGGTGGCCACTCGGTGGGTAGTAAATAGGATTGCTGATAAATATGAAGAGAGAAGAATTATACAAGTAAGTGAAAAAAATTATATATCATTGTAACATCAAGACCTTTATTATTTATTAATAACTTACCAAAAATTAACTGTTATTATAATTTCTTGGATTTTAGCTTTTAGAAGAATATAATCAGACATACATCTACCTTCCCTTTATGTTATCGGAATATGCTAGTATACCTCTTGATATCGACTTCGCTGAACAAGATGTGTATCACAAAAGCATACTTTACATTAATAAAACGACTATATATCACTTAAGGAGAAGTGCAATGATAGTGGTAGGCCGATAATATATATATACATCTTATTAACAACTTCTAGTGTAGACTTATATGTACAAATAGGATCGCATGTTTCACTACAAAAATATTTATGTTATGAACAATAACGCTGTTAGAAACCTAATGATCGAAGAAGGTATTAAAGAGGGGGCGGAGTGGATACTCCCATTCGACGGTAATTGTTTTTTCCATAAAAAGGTTGGAATTTTGTAACATACTTTTTAAGTTTAGAGTGTAAAGTAACAAAAAGCTCTTATAATAAGTGATTACATTTGACTACAGATTTGGATAAATATTGTGAACGAAGTTAACCAAATGGGGGAAATAAACTACTTTATTATACCGATGGCCCGCATTGTTAACAACACCAGGTTGCTTAACCCCAAGTTTACACCAAAAGCTGTTGAAGAACCACAAATAGTATTTAGAAAGAGTGCCGTTGAAAGATTTAATGAAAATTTAAGGTGATCTTTTTTTTTTAAAGTTCCAACTATAATGTATGTAAAATAATAAAGGTATGGAAGAAGACCAAAAATTGAAATGTTGTGGCGCCTTAATGTCACCGGTTCGTGGAACAGTTGGCGCAAAAATCTCTTTTCATGGGAACACTTTTCTTGGAATATTTCGAAAGACATTAAGGAAAGCAAAGTACCTGCAATTTCGTGGGTCGCACGGTTGAGCTCCGGGCGCCCTCAGCTTGAAAAAAAAGGGAGGATAAATATTCGGGGTTTAATGCGCTCAAAAGGGATAGAAAAGTTGCTTGTTAGATTAGATGAAAGAGTGTTAAGAAATTTATACAACTTTGAACCAAAAGAAAGGTACTTAAAATAATTTAGGACGGCATTAATGTTACTTACCTACCTACGTATTTAAAAGTAGCTAGTTTAATTTTTTTCAATCTAAGTTCCTTATTTAAACTTCATCTCTAACGAAATAATTTAACATAACATGATGGAGCAGGCTATTATTTTACAAGGAAAGTTTATTGCAGAAGGCTAAGGAAATTTATAAAAGAAAAGAACATGAAAAGTTGGGAAACTTAATTTTCAAATTGTTTAACTATACACGCTCTATAAAAGGTAGTTAACTGTATTTACTTGTAAAGAAAATTTTGATCAACTCGACATTAAAGAAGATACTGAAACTACAAGCCATGTTAACCATTACACCCTTACAACTTTATTTCGTAAGTTACTTAATAGATTTATTAAATATCATTAACGCCTTTCCGCCTAGAGAAAGTTACCTGCCTAACCCTTGCATGGTACTTAAGCGAGGACGAGCAGTTTTCATGGAAAGCTTTAAGCTATGTTAAAAAATGGTTGTTAAGCCCAGAGTCCGCTATGAGCCCGCAAAGAGTACACGAAATGCTATTTTCTTATATTAGTGAACCTTTACAAATAGCTGGTAAAGGTTAATTCATTTCAAGTCCTCGTTATCTAACTTGCTAATATAACCTATAAGAGCATTATAAAGTTGAAGGACTTTATTACTTTTTAGATGCCTTAAAAACTCCTGAGCAGGTCTAACGCTTTAGAATACAAACAATTAAAAGAGCTAAAAACTTGGTTTAGACAGCTCGCCGATCTGTTAATTTCCTCTGAGCAGGGTATATTACAGCTTCCTTATTGTTTGTTGGTAGTAAAAATTATATAACTGCACGCCCGTATGTAATAATTACTTATTGCAAAAACAACAATGTTTAATTCAATAATTGTACACTGAAGGTATAGAAGAATTTGTAGCTTGTAACAGTCGAGGGCTCTACTACGATATCCGCCTGGCCTCTATAGCAGCCTTCCTTGATGATATCCCTCTATTTTTAAACCACACGGATCGCGCACGTATGCGCCTGAAGGATCATTTCAATTATAAAGGCGTCATGCCATTAGAAAGCCTCCGCGTTTCACCTCTACATCACATAATGTTTGCATTACAAGGTATACACGTCTTCCCCTCCGATATTACATTCCTTTCATACAACTCTTAATTTGTGCTAAGGATGGTTTACTATGGCTAGAATCTGTGAAAACACTAATATTAACTTTTTACACTTTCGGCCGAAAAGCAAAAATCCGAAACAAAATTCATTTCCTCTTCTAAAAAGCTCTGTGCTTCAGTACATATGGTTTTTCAACTCGACTTGGTATGATAAGCGAACTAGCCATGAAGATGACGAGAGGATGCTTTCACTGTTCTACACGGCTTTGTCTGCCTATCCCGAGCTTAAAGACGCAGTAAGCCACTCTTATAAAACACTCTGAAACATTTGTACGACGCCGAACCACTCTTCAATTCTTCTACTGGAATCGCCCCCTATTGGAACCTTGTACTTTCCAACGAGCCGCGTTAAGTCTTGCGTCTGTTTAGTTTAAAAGTTTTTCGTTCGTCGACCCACATAGTTGTAAGAAAAATAACGTTAAGTCTTCTAATTTGTAAATTGTAAAAATATACTTTTCATTTTATAAATATAATTTCATATTCCTTTGAAAAAATTTCTGTAGTAATAATATTTTAGAATTATAGACCTTCAAATTTTTCAGTTGAGGTAATAAGTTTTAAATTATAAATAAAGTTTTGCTATAACTTAGTAACTTAAATGAATTTCTACTACTACAAGCTAATTAAAGTAAGCAGTCATTTCTGAAGACATAACAAGCTTAAAAGTTACCGATAATTAAGTTCACTAATAAATTTTTAAACTACAGTTTATTTTAGCTCAAATATATGTTTTACAGGAAAAAAAGAAAATTATACACTTAATAAATGTAAAATATGTGATATTCTTGTGGATTCACTTGATTCCTGTAACAAAAGCATTTAGTTAAAAAATTATAACGACAGTGTCTTAAAATTTTATATAATCGCTTAAATTAAGACTAATAAAACATTCATAACCATATACGTACAATAAAGACAATGAGACAAAAATAGCAAATAAAAATATTTAAAAAAGTAGACTAGACTTGTGAACATGTTTATATATATGTATATATCAAACTTTAACTTTGAGCAAAAAAAAAATCTTTGAAGTTATAAGTTCATTACTATACTTTAAGAAGAATAACTTGAATATAACACGCGCCTCATAACAAAAAAAAGCTCTCTAGCAAACATATCACGCAACTACTTTCGTATAGAAAATATGTCGAAAGACATGCTCTTAAAAATGATAAAAACTTCGATCTGACCTTGGTCTTGAAGCAGGTTTTATCTTACTTGTATTAGACTTGTGCGCCTTGCATAGTAACTAGGTCGTTATGAAGCATTTCTCGCAAGGTTAATTACCAGGGAGTTCAGCCTCTAAAGGGTAATCTCCAAGTATCGTAAAAGGGATGTACACAGTACACATGACTGGCACGCTCCTCATTTTCTCTTCCTGAGAGTCCCGGATGGAGCAAGGTTGATAACAGTTTGGCGCCTGATTTTTGTTTAAAATTCAATATTTGAAGACCTATGAGATAATAAATCATTTTAACAGATTTTATATTTCTTTATAACAAGAATATCTTTTTCCTGCTATTTTAAACTTTTTTATAAATTAAACTGTAAATATACAAGGTCTTACAAGTCTCATTCTTCGCTTCTTTGTTCATTTTTTATATATATTATCGTCACCAAACCTTTACCTGGGCTTCTTTACAGCTTTTCGGTTGCTACGTTTTCTACTTATCTATGAAGATTGCTCTACTTCCTATCTCACTCTCTCCTTTTCTACGTTTTCTTCGACCTTACATTTCCATTTTCTTCTTTATGTTACTAAATATTATTAGCTTTTAGACATAATCTCAATTTATTTTTTTTTCTATATTTTTTTCACAACTTCTTACACTGATCCATACTTATGCCAATTTTTAATTTCTTTGTTTTCCAATGTTTGATATTTTTCTTGAGATTATTAAACTTTTTACTGACACGCAGAATTATCCAGAATCGCTTTACGACAGCCTGCACGGCAGGGACAACAATTAAAGTATGTCTCTTAACCTTGACACGGCTAATTTATATTTAGCATTGATAACTAGAAGCGTACACGAACTTTTTTTTGCCACACCCTAAATTCGGAGATCCCCAAGTTACCTCACACAAAAAACATTTAAGAGGGCAGCACTAGGTAACAATTTAAAGTAAACAGCTTGCACACATACGTGAGATTCAGGCAAAGGAGATGAAAAACCACAGAATGGGAACAAGCCGTATAAAAACGTCAGAGCATCCGGCAGAAGTCACTGAAGACATTTAGTAGCAAAGTAGCAAGATACACGAACTTTGCAATGATAAAAGGTACGAAACTATTTATCAATTGCCAATCGCTTAGAAAACAAGAAAACCAAGTTGAAGCAAATTGCGTCCTGAAAACTTACACCTCAGGGAAAATAAGTGATATACATAAATTCATAGCCCTTGCGCATCGAGAAGATGGATTTGATGTCCTTCTGTAGAACAGAATTATAAAATCTTAACTCTTTTGATATAGATAAGCACTTAACCCCGTCTTCAAGCGGTAATTACACATAATATGGAGAACGGATCTAGTTATACCTCTTTTATACCCTTATACTAGTGAACAAACTAATGTAAGAGCTACATTGAGTTCCCACTTAAGGTCTCAGAGCTCTCACAATCACAGAGAGCTGTACACATAGCGGAAAATTAGTTCCATTGAAAAGGCTTGCTCAGAGAGATTATTGAAAAATAACCCTACTAAGAACTACGTAGAATTGTAAGAGAATCATCCTTAGAAGCTTTTTGTGTCTCCGGACTTTACTATCTATATAGTATTTGCATTTAGTCTGTTATAATCGTCATATGTCGGATTAGTGAAATTTAAATGAAGTATATTTTCCAAAGCTCGGTCTAGTTAAAGAAGACTTTGCAACCTAACGACTTGTACAATTAAATTTTCAAGAATAAAAAGGCTAAGGTTTTGTCGGGTAATAGTTGCTCATTCTTATTTTGGTATGTTGTTAGTAATAGAATTTGAGTTCCCGAAGAGCTTCACCCGAGTAATTTAATTTATGGTAAGCTTTGACTGCTTTGATATGAATCTTGTCATCTTAGGTACTGTTTGTAAACTTCTCACTCAGTGTAAACTGTGGTGGGTCTTTTGGAACTGTAGATAGTTTAATGCCCCCTTGTTGAACGTCTTACATAAACTCACTTCCTTTATTCATTATTATCTCTTCTGTGACTGCTATGGATGTGTTTAAAATTATGGATGTGCAGTTTAAGCCATTAGTTAGTATATGCTTGACCTCCAGTTTATATTCAGCAAGTATTGTTGTAATACGTTTGGAAGTATTAATTTAAAATAGTTGTCCAAGTTATCGTTTATTGTGGGTTTCGCTCCTATTTATAGCCTTTTTCATTTTTATTTTACGCATAAGACAAATTTCACATTCTTCAATTTCGATATTTAGGCAAATTCCTTTAAGGTGGTGATAGCTATTGTGGCTATATTTGTAGCTATCCTTAGGAAATATATTGGGTGTCTACTGCTAGTGATAGAAGAAATATAATAATCGTCACCGTGTCGGTGGTTCCAGGAATAAAGAGTTCATCTCTCTCTCTCCCTTAGGCAATATTGCTATTGTTTTTATCTACGTATACCTTATTATGATCTCAGTTTCAAATCCAATTAATGAGTGGAGGATGTGTCTGCTAACGAGTAATGCTACCCCTCGCCCTCCAACCTTCATTTTTACGGTTATGGCTGTATACGATATAATTAGGTTTGAAAAATCTGTTCCATCCTTGATGAGTTTCCGAACTTAAGAGAATACCAATACTTAGTCGCTCGCATGGTTCATCTATCTTTTCTCGAACTCCATTGGCATTCCAAGATAATAATCTAAGTTTTATAATAATTTGGTCAACCATTTTAGTGGCAGCTAAGGTTTATTAAAAAGATTATTAATGGCTTTAGCGACTTGAGTGCTAATAACTTATAGTGAAGACATAACCTGATTAACAAATAGTTTTTGCAGATTATCATTATATCGTTGTAAGTAGGCACAATAAACTTGTCGGAGAGTATATGCGCGTATGAGAGCCCTGGTGTGAGCTCCTCCATGATTTTAGGAGAACTGTCTTTAAAATTCCTTTTCCTAAGAGGCGCATTCTTGGGGTAAAAAATACAGTCAAGATAATTGGCGATGTGTTGCTCGCCACTATTAGCGCAGTTAGGGGGCCGTCTCTTTCCTTTGCAAAGCTTGGAGTAACGAGATTCGCCACATTTTACACATCTGAACATCAAAGTGCAAAATTGATCAGTATGTTCGTATAACTGGTACCGAAAGCAGTGGTCAATTCTTCCCGTTTACTTTAAGGTTCCACAGTAACGGCCATAAATCCTGTTTTTCTCGAAGCATAAATCTTTTCCCGATTCTGACTTAAGGAAGTTTTACAAGTACAAGAAGAAACGGGGTTCGCTTTCTATTATATTTTCGCATTCTGATTACTTCACTCGGATGGCATCCTTGAATTTCAAGTTCTTTTTTTAAATCTTCTAAGTCCATGTTAATAAAGACGCCTCAAAAAACAACTTTATGTACTTTTTCGAGGGGTAAGCGATAGGTGGAGTATTTTAGATTTTTTGGTTAAGTAACCTTACCGAAAATCCTTTTCCGAGGACGGCAAAAACCCTAATTCCTCAAGCTACATCTTTTGCAACTTATATGGGAACATTGTTTTCCTCAATTAGAATTCTTATAATAATGGGAGGTATTTTTACTTCTCTTATCATTATTACTTGCAATTTAGTGTTATTATCGTAATATTTACTGTTTTTATTAATATTACAGTTTTTATCACTACCACTTTCATCAACACTACTATTGCTGTCGTTATATATGTTATTACTATTATTTTTAAACTATTAACATTGCTATCTTTTTTTTTATTTTTTACGGTAGTATTAGGCAAAGATTTGGTAGGTACATAATAACCTGTAGTTTTGTCGGGCGTGTTGATATCCTCTTGAATATATTTCTTATGTTACTCGTTAAGAAGTTGGAGAGTAGCGTAAGTATTAGATCTAGTAGCCTTGGCGCTTAACTTCCTAAAGACTTCTCACTTTTTGTAGAAGCAGTTTTACCGGAAATTCTTTTTTCATACTCACATAACTTAGGTTCATAGTTTATTTCTTGGTTTAATAATTTTCGTTAGTATGAGGTGGTTTATAATCTCTTGTGGATCGAACCCGTAGGAAAATAACTTAAAATAGTTGACATTAGAACTAGCTAAAGTAGAGAAAATTAAAATAAAAAAATTTAGTCAAAGAAAAAAGTATATATATAAAATCAATGGGAGTATAAATGTAAACCAC